CAGAGGACAGCTCTGAGGCCACTTTGTCTTGTCTCCTGGACAATCTCCTGAGAGGCGTTTTGTCAGCTAGGAGTCAAATCAATCCAGGTTTTGAGATTCGGAGAAGATGAGCTTAGAGCTTGCTCTCTTGGTATTCATCCAGGGACTCTGTGAAAATCCTTCTCCCGAAGATGAATTATGGGTCCCTAAAGCCTTGCACTGAAGGAAAGTAAACAGCACTCATGAAAATTAAGTGGAGGTATTCCAGATAATGACAAGAGGGCTCTATTATTATTATTATTATTATTTCAGGAATTTAGTTTTTTAGTTTTTGATGGTACTCTGCGCATCTATAGACCAGGGAGTTGAAATATTAGAAAGAACATTTTTGTCTGCCTTTTGTATTTTAATGCCTTAAAATAATGGATTAGGTCCTTGTAATTATCTCTTGCTTGTTTATATAAATAACATAAAGATGGAAGATTGTGAGACCAGAAGACCATTGCTTTGGAAGTTGTAAGACATAATTAATCATCTTCTGCTTAAAGGGTGCTTTTAAGGGTTAATTACTTCAAATTTTCAGAGTACTGGAGAAAGGAAGTGTGATGGAGACTAATCAATAAAATATACATTTCATAAACATTTCAACCATCTAGTTCCAGGGTTTTCCAAACAAAAGTACTGCTAGTTTATTTTTGTATTATTTATTTGCATCTATGTGACTTAATAAAATATTCTTTTATTATCAATATTTTATCAAGGCCTTTTATTCTTAATAAGTACAAATTGCATTTTTGCTGGAACATTTCTACAGCTTAATCTCTTTAAAAAATGAAAATGGTTAAAAAAATTATATGGTCCTAATTTATCAAGAAGGAAACAAAGGTCAGATGGCTTTCAGCCCATTTTCAAGTAATGTAGAAAATATCAGAAATGGTTTGTGTTTTGTACATGTTTAGATTAAAATAATATTTTCATAATGCTCTATAAAATACAATCCAGTTAAGTTTCCACTATCTGTTTTCACGTTTCTAGATGGAACTTTTGAAAAGGTCACACTGTAGTAATAACCATAAAACCACCTTGCTGAGGAAATGCTATTTAACTGGGAAATAATAGGATATTTAGGGTCTGTGTAAGAATGTACCAAAGTCTAGAATTTTTGGTAGGTGATGACATTGGTTGAGTCTGAATTTCCTCCCCTGCTGTGGAAGACGGCTCCTTGGTGAGGACTCATTCTGAATGGCACATTACTGGTAAGGGTGCAGATGAGGCAGGCATAAATCTACAACTGGAGAAAGTTGATTCCAGAGACTGAGGATCTGCCCAAAGTCACAGTGCTGATGGTTTAGATCCCCAGAACTTCTTTTTAATGACTTCGTTTCCTTGATGGATTTTTCCACTTATGAGTAATTCTCAGTCTTCTGCTAAGACTGGGGTAAGTTTCTCAGGGAAACTTGAGAAGATATTTTACTTAGAAATGGCCAGGTATACTCACTATATACCTGTGTCAAACTGGTTATACGTCAGGAGCTACGCTCAGAACTTTTATACACACCATCTCTTTTCTTCTTCACAAAACCCTATAAGATGGCTTATAGTAATGCTACCCCTCACCCATTTACAGATGAGAAATTGAAAAACATGGAGGTCAGACAACTTGTTCAAGGTCACACATCTGAGGAAATGATAAAACCAGAAACCAAAACCAAGTCTATGTAACTTGAAAGGCCATGTATTAAACCACTTTACCATACTGCTTGCCTCTCCCACACAAACAGGGAAGGGTGAAACATGGTGACAGCCCACATTTGTTATTTTAAAATGGGCAAATTTCTGTGTCTCCTTTTAAAAGATAGCTACATGCAAACAATGGAAACATGAAGTATTTCTGAAATATGAGTAATTCTGGAAACACAAATAGTAAGAACTCAGTACTTTGGTGTCTAGGGATGATGATGGCAACATTTTTCCTGCAAGTGAAATTTAAAACAACTATAAAACACTTGTTTTAATTTCTACAAGTTTAGCTATTGTTTGTAGAATCCTATTAAGAAATTGTTGCTAATGATAGCTATGCCTGGAGTACTAAACCAGTTCTCCAGTTATGTGGGTGATGCTCTTGTAGCTGACAGAATATTTATTCCTAGAGGTAACTGTGATAGATTGCATTTTACCCACTCCGTTGTTACAAGCTTGTGATGGAGAGTGGGCGGCGAGGACAACCTGTAATTCAGGATGGTTTAGAAACCAGTTGCCTAGGAAACAGGGATTAGCTGCATGCAGCCCGCCAAAACCAACTGTCAATAGGAGATGAAATTTTCCTTTTGATCTGAGTTGCTTTCCAAGTGTGTATTCTGTGCTACTTGTGGAGCCTGATTACAGCCATTGGACCTTGGTGAGCAGTTGGCCCATGGTGGGCTGTTCATGCCAAAGTAGACCAACAGTCAGTTAGGGAGGATGGGAAATATTGGGGAGAATGGTGGTGTAGGGAAAATGAATTTTTAAGAAGATAAAGCAATCAAGAAATACATATTTTATATAGCATGCAATTCTTGATCAAAACTTAGCTGCATCTAAATTTATAGCAGCAAAAATTACATTTGAGCACAATATTTTATTTGCTGTAATCCACTATTCCCTGCTTTTATGCTACTCACACCAGCAGCTTTGGTTTATAGCCATCATCTTCAAGAGTAGTACTTTTAAATTCATAATTCTTTGATACTTTAGAAATCTGCGCATTTTAAATTAATAAATTTAACATACATGCGCACACATGTCTTTTTAAATATCTATATAAGTTTGCATGTATATCTAAGCTGAGCCATATAAAATTGCTGCTACTAGACTATATAGGGCTATAGACATGGCAATTTTATATAGTTCAATTTGCAAATAAATAGAAGAGATTATAGAATGCACTTGGGGGTTTCTTTGCTGTGGTATGTTGATTAAAAAAAGAAAAGAATATGGTTGGGAGAACAGTGTTTCCTCATCTTTTTTCCTGGTGTCTCCTATTTGCTTTCTTCTCATTTCTGCTTTCCCTGTCCTATGTCGACCCCATTCTATACTCGCTCCATCCATGTCCCATTGGCAACCCACACAAGTGTGTCCTCCACACTCATAGATGCATAAATAGATAGACAGCTAGTGACAACCAAATCCACACTAGTGACAGAGTCTGTGATATGGAATCCCAGACTCCCATATCATGTATCTCCTGTTGGCACCTATAGTCAAGTACTCTGTTTCCTGATTTGAAAATACTACCTATCTCCTCTTCGATGCACTTACCCTGAATGGATTTCAGCCTGATTTTAAGTCATTTCCTCAGTTTTTGACCTTCATTCACTTGATTTCCATTTGTCTCACATGTGCTAAAAACCATTCACAGATGACTCGAGCTATGAAGCAAGACACTGTGTCATGGGAGTGGGTTAGTAATTCTTTCCTGATTTCCTACTTTTGCCTCCACAGAATAGCCTATTATTGTGCAAATGAAGAGTAAGACTTTATGAGAAAAAATATGTTGGTTTTTATTCTGCTAACACTAGACCCAGAATTCCTTGCCTTTTTCTCCTGCAAGGAAAATGGACTCCCAGAGCAATTATTCCTGCTTTCAACTAAGAAAGCACAGTCAAGAATCAGTAAGGTAGTAGGACATATGAGAAGACCTTGACATTTATGCCACCGACAAGAGTGTTTGAAATAGTAAGGTTAGTAAGAAGTTCACCTCTACCACAGACATGATAGGAGAGCTAAAGTTCTCACCTTCAGCCAAAGGTAACTTCTCCTCTCACCCCCCTTCCACAATTGTCATTGAACCCCATTCTCCTTCCGGGGGACAATATTGAGTTTATTAGACCATTGTGGGCCATCCCTGCTCAGCACAGCGGGCACTTCTTGTGACACTGGGCTATGGACAATTCTGTGACCATACTCCTCTGAGTTTTCTCCCTGGAAAGTTGGTATCCACGGAAGAAAAAGGCCATGAGAACTTGGAATCTGGGGTTTACTGCTCTTCCCCACCTAGCACCCACTGCCCCTGCACTCAGTCATACAGGTCATGGACACCTTTACCTATACACAAATGCCTGCTGTAAGACCAAGCTCCTGCTGCTGGACTATAGTCCCTTCTTTTATTTGGAAAGGAAAGTGCTTTGCAATAAAGTAAAATGTCAGTTCCTAGGAACTGGGGAGTCAAAAGGCTCTTGGGAGCAACTCAGAAGGCTCCATTTCTAAGAGTGCCCCATAAGGTCACCTTGGGAAAGTCTTTCATCCTCAGTAGAGGATACTCTGGCCAAAGAGAACACAGCTTACTCCAGTTTTTGTATGCTGGAGGGCTGCTATTTACTTAGAAGCAGAGTCTGTCCTGTCCTGTCAAAAGGCTTTCAAAGCTGCTGCACCAAGAACTGTTTCAGATCACAGATTTCACTAACTAATGACCCTTGTCCTCCCCTTCAGTAGTAAAATCCCAAAATGGTCCTAGGCGAGGAGAAGTAAATTCTGACAGCTGCTTAAAGGTCATCTTAGAACTAAATCCCCAAAGAAATTATTCTACGTTGATAGACAGACAAGAAAAAAGAGGAGTGGGGAGAAAAAGAAAAAATGATATTATGTAAAGAAGGGTAGCTATTTGCAGTTCACCCGGGTGTGCTCTGAAGGTCAAATCCTTACATCAGCAATTAGCAGAAAATCCTTGAGCTCCTGCAGCTCTTAGAAAGCACAATTGAATCAGATAGCATGGGAAAGACACACACACCCACACACACCTCATTGGATCCCACGTGCAAGTCTCCTAGAGAAACAGTTTTTGTGGGTAAAAGAACAAGATATTCCAAGGGACCTACCAAGAACATTGACATAGGAGGCTCATTATTTTGACTCCTGTAGTCTTTTTATTTTATTTTTATTTTTGTAAATTTGTAAGGTGTGTAAGTAATTGCAGTGCTGCTTTGCTTCCCAAACTGGACGGAGAGTTCAGCAACAGTAGCAACAGTAACTGTCATCCTGGCACCATGGAGTTTCTTGAGAGAACTTACCTTGTGAACAACAAAGCCACCAAGATGTATGCCTTCACACTAGACAGGTAACAGTCATTCGTGTCTGCTTCAAGGTTTTCTGTCTGGACTATTTAGTACATTCCTAAACCCTATTGCTTCTGAATTGTGAACTTTTTTCTTTGTAACTTGAGGTATTTTGGAACATTTTACAAGCTGTTGAATGACTTGTATAATAATCTATATCTTGAAAAATGCAATACTCTATGTAGTTGATCGATTCATTAAATATCCTAAGTGCATAAAGCAAACATTTTCTTAATGTGGTTTTCAGCTGTACTTTTTCTTCTAGAAAATAGACATATACAATCTAACATGTTTACTTTTCATTTTCTCAATTATTCCCATTTTCAAGATAGATAGTAAATTTTATTAAATTATATTTAAAAGGATACAGGACAAAACCACATGATTATTTCAATAGATGCAGAAAAGGCATTTGCTAAAATCCCACGCCCTTTAATTATATAAATACCCATTGAACTAGAAATAGAAAGGAACCTGATGAAAGTCAACTGTGGAGAACTTGAAGTACACATCATAATTATAAAACTCTGTCCTAAGATCGGGTACAAGATAAGGATATCTATTCTCATGAGTTCAGCTCAGTATGGTACTGCGTGTTCTAGCCAGAGAAATTAGGAAAGACAACAAAATAAAAGACACCAAGATTAGAAACAAAGAATTAAAACTATCACTACTTGTAAAAACATTATCTTGTGTATAAAAAGTCCTAAGGAATCCACCCCCAAAACTTTAAAACTGATAAACAAGTTCAGCAAGGTCTCAGGAAACAAGTTCAATATGCAAATAGTAATTATAGTTTTATATAATAGCAGTGAAAAATTTGAAAATGAAATTAAGGAAACAAGTCATTTATAATAGCATAAAAATATAACATTTGGGAATAAATTTAACAAATTATGTATAAGACTTTTACGCTAAAAATTACAAAACAGTAAAAGAATTAAAGAAAAGATAAAAGCTCTAAATACATAAAAAGGTATCCCATGTTTGTGAATTGGAAGATTTAATATAGTTAAGATGACACTATTCCCAATATTGATGTAGAAATTTGATGCAATCACTACTAAAATCCCAGCAGGCTTTTTAAAGAAGTTGGACAAGTTAATATCACAATTTGCATGGAAACAATCGGGACCTAGAAAAGACAAAATGCTCTTGGAAAAAAAAGAATCAGCTAGGAAAACTCTCACTTCCTGAGTTCAAAAGTGAGTACAAAACTACAGTAATCATGAGAATGTGATATTGGTATAGAAATAGACATATAGATCAATGGAAAGAAATTGAGAGTTCAGAAATAAGCCCTTATGTGTATGGTCAATTGTTTCTCAACAGGGTTCCAAGACAATTCAAAGATGAAAAATTGTCCCTTCAACAAATGTTGCTGGGACAACTGAATATACATGTGGAGAAGAATTGATTTGTCTGCCTTTCTGGCATTATACTAAAAAATTCACTAAAATAGATCATAGACCAAAATGTTAGAATTAAAACTATAAAACTCTTCAAAGAAAACATAAGTGTAAATCTCTGTGATCCTGAGTTAGACCATGGTTTCTTGATATGACACCCAAAGCCTAAGTGGTTAAAGAAAAATTATATAAAGAGTATCAAAATAATCTATTTTGTTCTCAAACTGTATTCTCAAGAAAATGAAAAGACAAACCACAAACTGAGAGAAAATATTTGCAAATTATATATCTTATAAGGAACATATAAAGGATGATCATAATTTAATAATAAAAGCTAAATAAGCCAATTTTAAAATAGGTGAAAATATGGATAGACATTTCTTAAAGAAGATACAAAAATATGCAGTAAGCATATGAAATATGTTCCACATCTTTAGTCATTAGGAAAATGTAAATCAAGAACACAATGAGACACAACCCCATTTCTTCAAGAGTGACTGTAAAAAATAAATAACAAGTTTTGAAAAAGATATGGAGAAGCCGGGCTCGGTGGCTCAGCCTGTAATCTCGCGTTTTGGGAGGCTGAGGTGAGTGGACTTCCTGAGTCCACGGGTTCAAGACCCACCTGGGCAACTTGGTGAGACCTCATCTCTACAATA